AGCCGCCACATCCTGCAAAGGCACTGCTCCATCCTCAGCAGTTGCAGGACGTGATGAATTTTAAATCTCGCAGCTCCTTCAAGATCAGCCATTGAGTGAAAGTGGCTGGGACAGAGAATACTGAGAATTGCCCTGCAATTGCACCTCCAAACGATCAAGCCATGAACTGAAGCAACAACCGATGCCGTTCACACAGGGAAATGGCACAGACGCAGCTCAAGGCAGAAAGGGCCCAGGGCAGGGAGGATTTGTGGTTTAAATGATCTGTAAAATTATTTTCTCCAGAAATGCAGAACATGAGTAAGTTTCTAAATCTGCTTCCTCAGTGAGCAGCCTCACACAAACTTACCCCTGCAGAGGTCCCGCTGCTGAACAGATTGCTGGAAAGTCATCTTGGCTTAGAGCACCATTGGCAGCTGCTTCTTTTGGAGCATTGACAAAAAGAGCAAAGACATCTTTTTAACTGAAATCCATTCATTTCAGAGTGGAAGCTATCAATGAACGTGACAGCAGCATTAACAAGTCCTCTATTTTCGCTGGCTGCTGATGTCATTTACTGTGACATCCAGAAAGGACAATTTCATTTCCCTCAATTAACTGCATTCACCATTATGTCAGCGTGCACTGGCTGTAGCATAGGGGAAATTCGTGGTACTTAACAGGAGCAAAGCATTGGTTGATAACACTTTGTGAGGGAACCCTCTAGAGGCTGAGATCCCAGTGGTCGCCACTCAACGCCCTGCAGAGGGTCAGGATGCTCAGCAGAGCCTCAGAGCTCCAACCAATGCACATCAACACTTCCTCACTCAGAAAGCTGCTCCTCTGAGCTGTCAGCACACCTCTGCTGCACAGATGCCCAAGCTGCTCAGCAATTAGCTCCTGGGCAGTCATTTTTCATCGAAACAGAACTTACTCCTAATTTAGATTTGCTTTAAAATGCAAATCCAGGGCTGCGGGCTGCAGCAGTTCAGGCACAGACCAGGCTGGGGGTGACCACCATTGCCCGTCAGCCCCAGCTGAGCTGTCCCCTTAACCAAGCAGAGCACTCGGTTCATAATGAAAGCACATAATCTTTAACTGGGAATCCAGTGGTGGGAGCAATAACACAGTGGAAAATTGATTTGGAGCCATAGCAATTATCAAACCACCACTGCATCGTATTTACTTGCCCCAGACTGGAGGTGGTTCAAAACAAAGGTTTGCTTTCACCAGGTAGAAACCTTTACTGGGCATCATTTGTTCTCAAAAAAGGTGCAACTCAGCTCAAGCATCACAATAAATGAGCTCTTGACTGCTAGAGCAGGACACGGCACATTCTTAGGTTATACTGATTTTGATTTGCAAATCCGTGCTGCTGGATTTACATTCTGCATTGCTTTATCTACATCCACCAGCTTCTGAGAACAACGTCTGGAGATTCCCGCTTCTGTGGGCTGATCTCCAGACCCGCACCCCCCTGCAGCTGCAGAAGGCGTTCAGCACTGACCTGCAGCATCATTTGAAGACTTTGGCACGCGTTTGGAGCTGAGCACTTCGGGATCCCTCAAGTCCTCCTTTTTACCTCTGCTGCTGCTGTCCTCTTTGTCCTCGACCCGTTTCTTCTCCTCTTGTCGTTTGGCTGCTACGGACGCCCTGACTGCTGCTGCAACGTCTCTGTCTTCTTCTTCCCTACAGGACAGGGCAGATTTATTGGTCAAACAGAAAGGATTGCCCAGCACCTTTGTCTCACATCAGCTCCCCAGTGTCGGCTCCAGTGACTGTCCCTGAGCTGGTGCTGCCACCTGCTGAGAAGGCTACAACAAACCCAGCCCTCCAACACACCCTGATTTGCACCTTCTACTCAACAACCCAGCCCAAAAGAAACCAGGGTGAACTGGGAGACATGTTTAGAGATGGACCTTTTCCCCCAGTGCAATCACCAGTAATGAACCAGCCGACCATCCAGCCAGAAAAAGAAGATAAACTGATGTGCAGTACCTATAAAGCACCCAGGTTTTGTGTGGATGAAGAGATACGTAAATGCAAAATTTCACTTTGATACTTAACCCTCTTCTTTTTCCCAAGGACTCAGTCTGGCCCCACAGAGATCTGTCAGTTCAATGAAAAGCATGGTCCTTAGAACAGGAGCTCCACGATTACCCAGACCAAAAAGTCCATTAAACCTGCAAACTCTTGTCACTTACTTCAGAAAATCCTGTTTAGAAAAGTTAGCATAGGAACGGCTGCTGAAACTCATTTAGGATTCTGAGTATTTAACCCATGAGGTGAAGATTACATCGTTTGCTTCCTGGGTCAACTCCTGAGAGCTGAAACTCCACACAGAAAAATTCCACTTTGACCAAGCTCGCCAAGCTACTTCAGCTCCCAGGGACTCACTATGGAGGCCTCCAAGTTTTGTACCTGCTTCCTTCCTGCTGGTCCACCAAAACCGTGGTCATTGGCAAGTAAAAACACCACGAAGCAGCAGCAAGAATCCACAAAGTGCTGTGCTACTCACCTCTTGTATCTCCAGCTGCCTCTTCGGTTTTGCTGGCTTCCTCGGCCGCCCAGTCTGCCCGCCCTGCCCTGCCTGTTGTACCTGTCCACTTCTTCGTAGTCCTCTCCACCTATAACACCTAAACAGGAGGGATGGACCATCATTTATCTGGGCACCACACTATGCCTGAAAAAAGCAAAAATATCCTGGTACAAACAAATCTACCTTGATTTCTTTACGATTCATTAGTCTATACACCCTTCAGGACTGCTACATTAAAATGCACTTTGCAGTACGTGGATTCAATGCATTGTAACTTGGGATGTGAGTAATTCTGGTTTTATGCAGAGATCTCTCTACAGGCAGTTCCACACAGAAGAAAAGTTTGTATTTATGTTGAACTCTGCACTCCTAAGTGGAGTCTGGTCTCACGCCTCACGTTCATCACCAATTTGTATTAACTGCAATGTAAGTCATTAATGTAATTACAAACTGGAGAAGGCGGTCAGCAATTTTCCTAAGATTATGTTATCATTACATCCTGGGGTGTATCAGGAGGGGGGTGGTTAGCAGGTCGAGAGAGGTTCTCCTCCCCCTCTACTCTGCCCTGGTGAGACCACATCTGGAATATTGCGTCCAGTTCTGGGCCCTCAGTTCAAGAAGGACAGGAACTGCTGGAGAGAGTCCAGCGTAGGGCTACAAAGATGATGGAGGGAGTGGAGCATCTCCCTTCTGAGGAGCGGCTGAGGGAGCTGGGGCTCTTTAGTTTGCAGAAGAGGAGACTGAGGGGAGACCTCATTCATGGTTATAAATATTTCAAGGGTGAGTGTCACGAGGATGGAGCCAGGCTCTTCTCGGTGACAAACAATGATAGGACAAGGGGTAACGGACACAAACTGGAACACAGGAGGTTCCACTTCAATTGGAGAAGAAACTTCTTCTCAGTGAGGGTGACAGAGCCCTGGCCCAGGCTGCCCAGAGAGGTTGTGGAGTCTCCTTCTCTGCAGACATTCAAAACCCGCCTGGACGCCTTCCTGTGTAACCTCATCTGGGTGTTCCTGCTCCGGCAGGGGGATTGGACTGGATGAGCTTTGGAGGTCCCTTCCAATTCCTAACACTCTGGGATTATGTGATCCACACACAGGGGAAAATTGCAAGAAATTGCAGGAAGAGACCTCTGGATGTCCCTTGATCCATCCCCTCACTCCAAGGCCAAGGCTGAAACCACCTCAGGTTGCCCAGGGTCCTGGGGAGGGTCAAGCTCCGGTTCTCCTCAAACACAACCTCTCAGGGTCCCGTTCCAGGGCTTGCCCATCCTCTTTGTACAGAGGATTTCCTCCTGGCCAGGCAACGTTCACCAGAAGTGCTGGAAAAGCGGGAAGAACGGCTACGATCCTGCCCAACCACACTCACCCTCGTTCCTCCTCTGGTGCCTGGGAGCGTAGTTGAACTGAAGGTCGATCTGCCGGTTCTGCCTGGCCTCCGCCCTGTTCTTGCTGTGGCAGGCCGTTTTGTGGGCTTTATAATCTATTTCCGTGCGAAAAGCGTGGGTAAACTGCTCCGTGCTGCACCGTCCCTCTTCGCAAAGGAAGTGCTTCTCGCGGAAGTGTTCCCGAAGGTATTCGTAGTCGCTGGAAGGAGAAATGAGGACGAGCTGCAACCTTCCCAATGTATTTTACTAACGGTTTATGGCTACTCTTACAAGACAAAGTGAAGACGAGCCTAAGTGTTGGTTCATTCTCCATCCCCAGGCAAGTTCTCCTGCTTGCATACAGTCGAGACAGAGCTTAATGCACGATCCCAGATGTTAAACTAAACCCACTGGATGGTGCTCAGCACATCCAGCTGTGTGTAACTCGTGTTTCACAAAAGAAACTCTACTTTATCTGCTTTGCACGTGAACTCTGGAGCATTAAAGGCGCTAGACAGCTGCAGACATCTGCTGTCATGCTGCAAAATTTAACTTTTAACGCTTAACATTAATGAAAAGTACTTTAAAACACAAACTAGACAGAGACTGACTTGAGGAACAAGAGACTGCAGCCAACCTGCTGACATGCTTGTCCTCTGTCTTCAAGCACTGCTTTCCCCAAAAATCAACCCAGACCCAAGCAATTTTTCCTCAAAATTTATACAGAAAGAGGAGAAAGCCGCTGGCACAAACCTGTAGTATTCCTGAGCACCATCGGAGTCACAGAAATGGCAAAAATAATGATCCCGTCTGAGGTGTTTCAGTAACTCGTCGTTGTCCAAGTAACGCTCGTCGCAGAATTTACACAGGGGATGCCCACGATGGGAGGTGTCATCGGGATCCCCGTGGATTCGATGACGGGCGAGGTCCTTACGAGAATACCACTTCCTCTCATAGGTAAAAATCTGAAAAAGTATTAATGTGTATGTATTACTCCTTGTGAACAGAGAAGAAAACGGAATAAACCGGGTTGCGAGAACCTGTTCGCTTGCAGCAGTGGAAGACTGGCTTCAGAAAGATGCAATTTGACAACCAACACCTAAAATTTTCAGTGAATATGAAACAAAATGCAGGGGATAGATCCAAATTCCACCTAACTTGCATTTCACTCCGTTTGAACACTGGAAACCAACATAATTCACCTGTTCCCCTTTCACAAGTTTTTTTGTGTATTAATGTAATGCAACAACTTTAAATTATAATCTCTGCTGGAGGAAAAAATCCTATATATTTAGGAAAATACAGGAGTTTTTAGCTCAAGTTCACAAAATACTGTAAACCAAAGTGAGCTGCTTGACTTCCCTCAGAGAGAAACCACCCCAAGACCCCTGCATACACAGGATTCAGCTCACTGAACACATTTTGTATTGCAAGCCAATGTTCTGTCCTTACCAACACGTGAGCCGCTTTGGTAGGATGGGTTATGAAGATGCCAACAAGATCAACGCAGATCAACAGAATATCCTTAATTTCTCACCCAGACAAGGGTGTTAACTTGTTTGGCTTCGCTAGGGCTGATGGACTGAAGCTTCTGAGAGTTTAAGAAGCTGTTTTCAATGGGGTAATAGGGAACTTTTATCTTTGAAATAAAAATCTCTGCAGTGTTCTGACATTAAAAGCGGAGAAGTTGGCTTTTTAAAGACACGGCCATCGAAAGAAGTGAGCTCTAGCGACTGCAGGACCACAGGAAAGAGTCAGATGAGTTCACTGAACGCTAAACCTGATCAAAAAATAAGTGTTAGGATGCATTCAGGTCAGCCTGACCACTGCTGGGTCCTGTCCCCTCGTGGCAGCGAACCACGGCTCAGTTGGCACAAACCACCTGTGGCAGCAGCGGATAAATGCGTTTCTCTGAGCTGGTGTTTCACTGGTTTCAGAGAAAACAAACACACACACAAGACCATGTGTAACGAGTTCCAAAAGCAGGCGATCGTGCACTAAATTCCCTCCTACAAGAAGGAAAGCTGACGGCTATCAGACACAAGTTAGCGCTCCCAGAACTCACTGAACAGCAGCTGTGATTTTGTCCAAACCCTAATTCAGGAACACAAACCCCACTCCAGCTCCAGGGAAAGGCAGAATTTGGCCTTCCAGTCTGTGAAAAAGCATCTCCTGACTGACACGCACCAGCCCTGCCCAGGGAAATGCGGGTGGGATTTGAAGCAATAAAGGAGGATGGTGGTGTTGGCAAGATGAGCAGTTTGACTGTTCCATCTTTAGCAGGTTGTACAACACATTTTAAACCAGCCCCAGGTCGTGTGTACATCAAACACAGCAGGCCTCAGCTGCAGATAATGGTGACTTTCATTTTCCAATCAAGTCAACCAGACACAGGAAATCTGCTCTGAACAAATAACCAAGATAATGAAACACGATGTTTCATGAAACCAGGCCTTAACACACATCAAACCTCTGTCCTTCCAGCCTAACAAAGTCTGCACGAAAGTGCAGAGTCCTGCATCTGGGCAGG